GCTGCTAACCAAAAGGTTAGTGGTTTGAACCCACCAGCCGCTCCATGGGAGAAAGATGTGGCCATCTGCTTCTGTAAAGATTTCAGCACTGGCAATCGTATAGGGCAGCTCTGCTGTGTCCTGTAGGGTGACTGTGGGTTGGAACTGACTCCAGAGCAACAGGTTTTGGTTCCTTGTTCTGGACAGCACCACTTCCTCTTTCGGAAGCCATGAGCGCCACGAGAGAAGATCAGCGGAAACATGAGTTAGGCTGTCACACACTTTTCGGTGCGTCTCTTTGCACCCTCCTTCCCTTCCGAAATTCTTCCCCTCCCCTTCCACCTTCTCTTGGATTTCCCACTCAGGCTGCTCTTCCCAGGCTTTCTTGGCAGGTTTCTCCTCTGCCCCTTGCCTAAGTACCGTTCTCCCCAAGGTCTTGTCCTGCACCCTCTTCTTATGCTAGAACGCTCCTCGACGGCCTCCCCCACGTCTGTTTTAGATTGCCACGGTCCCTCCCCGTCTCCCCTGAACGCTAGATCTGCGTAGCCAACTTCTTCCTGCTTGCTTCTACTTAGATGCCTACCAGGAAGGGGATGCTTTCAAATGGAAACCCAAACTGAACTACATCAAGTAGAAAAATGACTTCCAATGGCATTTTAAGTTTGCTTGTAGTATATGTTGAATGATGGCCTAGAACTGAGGCAAAACCTAGGGAATTTGTGTCTATGAAGTTTCTTCTCTCCGTCTCCCTCTCTTACACACACACACACACACACACACACACACACACACACACACACACACTTATGACTACCCCTTTTCCCATGGGCACCCCAGTGTTGTGAACATCTCGGGAGAAGCCTATATTCTGCGACTGGTTCAGGCATTAGGGATTTGATTTCTGAACCAGATGGAGAAAATGCTTGGGATCTGGGAGGACTGGGTTTGTTTGGGAAACAACGTGTATCAGTTTCTGGATCATACCTGTAGGTGTTGAAGAAATCCGGACCCTGTGAAGACGCCCTTTTACAAAGAACCACAGCTCAAGACTGTTAAAACTTTTTTGTTTTCTTTAGTACATTTGTTGTGAGGTGCTGTCGAGTCAGTTCCAACTCATAGCGACCCTGTGTATAGCAGAAGGAAACACTGCCCGGTCCTGTGCCATCCGCACAATCGTTGCTATGTTTGAGCTCATCGTTGCAGCCACTGTCAATCCATCTCATTGAGGGTCTTCCTGTCTTTTGCTGACCCTCCACCTTACCAAGCATGATGTCCTTCTCTAGGGAGTGGTCCCTCCTGATAACATGTCCAAAGTATGTGAGATGTAGTCTCACCGTCCTTGCCTCTAAGGAGTGTTCTGGCTGTACTTTATCTGAGAC